AATATTCGTGGTTTCATAACTTTTCTCGAAGTTCTATTTCATTGCGCTACGATTTTACACAGAAATAACCGTCTTGCCACTCAGGCGACAAAACACCACACAAGTTAATCACCATATCAGTATACGATCGTCACTCAAACAATTTCACAAAATGTATCCTTTTATCGATATTCTATTTTTTTTTTTTAGAACAACTCACATCACATCAAAATTTAGCTTCTGTCATATAAACGAAATCAGTTTTAACTTATCTCAGTCACAAGGACAAATTTGAACACTTGGGTTACTTTTAGTCACTTAGACATCACAGTCTAACAATTATCTTTCGTCCCTTTGACGTCTTCACTACATAAATAAAATATGTCACATAGACATCCGACCCTTTATCGTCTCAACTATTTGATTTTTCTTTCCGTTTGTCACACAGACAACTAAACCATAATATTATAGTCTGTCACGAAGATATCTTATTCCTATCATAACATTAGAATACTTAAGCCATTTATTCACAATAGAACTCATAACCTATAAAGTCACATAGAAACAGATAAACCTTTGCATGTAGATAAAACCAAATGTTAGCGTGCATACATACTTTGCTGAAAATTTATCGTGTTGATGACTCCTCTGTCGGAGCTTTTTGAGCAGCGTTCTTTACGACGCTCGTCTCTGAACCTGACACCCATTATTCAAAATCTCATTCGACTATTAATAAATAATACCACTTTACTCGAATTTGTTTACACAAACCAAATTTCTTAATTTAATCAATTCACATTCAATCACTCATTCACATCTAGTAATATCAATTACTCAAAAAAAACATAAATAAATAAACTACTAGTTATAATCTATTCGAGTCACATGAGAATAATTCATTTATAGGTAGTAAGATTATCCACTCGAAGCCATGACATCCAAAGTAAACATTTCTCATAAAATTATAGTAACCAAAATTTAGTTGAATCTACATAATTTCTCAGTAAAATTATAAATTGCATGAAAATTTCATACCCATTAATTTCATGAAAATTCAAGAACAATGAACAAAATTTCTAATTATAAATACCCAATAAAATCATAAAATTGTATGAAGATTTCATACTCATGAATTTCATGAAAATTTAAGAACAATTAAAAAAAATTCTAAGTACCCACCATATATAAATATAATGGTAAAATACGTATTTAAACTTTTTTCAATAAAAAATATAAATAATAAATATTACTTTTTCCATCATACTAAACACAAAAAAATAAAAAAATAAAATTATTCCTATTTTCCGTCTCTCTTACCAAACACAAAAGAGAGAGAATGATTCCACTCTTAAAATATATAAAGTGTATTACTTCTACTTTTTATCTTTCTATTTTTTCATCTAAGATAAATTCTCATGGTCTCACTCCAAAAGATTGCCAAAATTTTGAACTTAACTCATCGCTATTATCACTTGAACTATAAAAAAAAAATATCACTTGAACTACCCTTGATGTTAAGCCTTCCGATGCTTCAACTATATGTAACAGTGCTAAAAATGTATGGACAAGAAAAAATTTCATACCACGAATAACGAAGAAATGCTTTTTGTTATGACTGATAATTTTAAAACTAATTTGCCAGTTCAATAAGAAATCAACTTGAAATTAGCGAATTTAAGTATAGTTTTTGCGGGTTTGAACAACAAACGAATGGATTCATTTGGCCCGCCAAATAAATAGATTAATACAAAGTCAGCTAAACAAGATATGAACCCACTGAACATGGTTTAATACATAATACAAAACAAGCACAATATAAAACTAACTGTATGCAATTATAAATTGGTCATGTTTCTAGTGTAGCATGGGTTTGGGTGTGAATGAATGTGAGGTTTCTTTTTAATTTGACCAAAGTGGAAACCTAACTTCCATCATAACTATTTAATTGTCAACTGAAATCCTATTGTTGTTAGTTAATTGCCAAAAAAAAAAACCACTACCATGACTATAGTTTTGAGATAGCTGTCTAGGGTTATCGAATGGAAAACGTCTTGGAGAAAGGCAAACAAAGTTTTTGTGATACTTTGTAACACATCTAATATTTTTGCCCTAAAACTTTATAAGGTATCACACAAATTTACATTGTTTTTGCAGCAGCTTCCAATCAGTTTTTCGTTTGCCAAGTACCTTCATCGTGAAAACACAGTTCATGAGCTAATATTTAGAATGGCCTACATTTACGTCGTAGATTCCCTGGTGATACATTAGTTAACGGATTGGATTTAAATTATGCTTTCACTAATTCATATCAGAATCTATTTGAAAACTCCAATTCAATTATCAAACAGATTTTATTTTTCTATTTCACACATGAATCCTTTAAAAGTTCAATATAATATTGAAAAATATTCTAATTTTAAATCTGACATAATTTCATTAAGTACAAAAATAAATATAAAATTTAAAAACAATATTTCGTAGCATAATTGGACCCCTAACTAAAATATCTTCACCTTAAGATTTCTGAGCTCTGTGTGCAGTTTGGTGTCAATGTCAGCTTCGAAGGATTTCTATACAAAAAAGGGCAAACTAGACGGACACCTCTTATGATCTATCAAACTAACAACACAGTTTCACTTCTTGTTTGGTATATATCAAATTCTAAAGGATCCCTTTCTTTAGTCAATAGCTAGGGTCCATGGTACGAATTTAAGTGTGTCCATAGGTTGAGTAAGACCAAGGGGTAGTTTAAATAGTAACATGAACGAATTACAAACTCATACATAAACCACCATCACCCATCATCACCGTAAACCACCACCACCTTAAGATTTCTTACGTTTATTTGCAGTTTGGCGTCTGTGTCAACTTCGAAGGATTTCTCTACGAAAAGGGCAAACTAGACTGACACCCCTTATGATCTATCAAGCTCACAACATAGTGTAACTTCTTGTTTGGTACATATAGAATTCAAAAGGATCCCTTTCTTTAGTCCATAGTTAGGGTCCACATTACGAATTTAAGAGTGTCCATAGGTTGAGTAAGACTAAGGAGTAGTTCAAATAATAACATGAACGAGTTACAAACTCATACGTAAACCACCATCACCCATCATCATTGTAAACCACCACCACCCGCCACCACCATGCGCAATCACCACCACTTGTCACCCACTACAACTACCCGCCACCCAACACCACCCACTACCAACCATCACCCACCATCGCCACCAATCACCTCCACCTACCATCGCCGCCACCCATCATCCAAAATATATTGTACTGAATCAAAAAAAAAGTCTTTTAACTGGTTTAGAAGATAGTGGGACACTACTTAATGAAAAATCAATTTATTGTACAATTGTTTTGAAAAATAAGGGGGGGCAATGTATCAATTTACGTGTGTATTCGCCTTCTAGCATGCACTTATATGTGTAATTATTCAAAAGTGAGAGGGGCACTAGGACTAAAGTAGCTCCATCCCACCACTCACCACCCAAAACAGTGAAAAACTAGCCAACCAACAACCAACACGCTTCATCACTGCCAACCACCATCATCCACCACCTAAAACATTAAAAAACTAACTCACCACCCAACATCGCCGCCAACTACCACCTACAACCCCTGCCACCACGAACCACAGCCATCGCCATCATCACCAATCATCGTCGCCAACCAACCACCACCACCAATTATTGTCGCCAACCAACCAATATCCACCACCTAAAACAGTGAAAAACTTGTCAATCACCCACCATCGCTAGCAACCACCACCACCCATCACCCAAAATAATAAAAAACTAGTCAAACTAAAAAATAATGAACTAAAAAATTGTGAATTAAAAAGGAATGAAAAATTAATGAACTAAAAAAATAGTAAAAAATTAGTGAACACCAAAATAATGTAAAATTAATAAACTCAAAAAATAGAAAAAAATTATTGGTTTCAAAAATACTAAAAAATTACAGAACTCAAAAATAATGAAAAATAATAAAATAAAAAACAATACTAAACTATGGAACTAAAAAATAAAAATAAAAATTAGCGAATACAAAAACAATGAGAAAAGTAAACTAAAAAAAGTGAAATTAATGTATTTGTTGGAGTTGCTATCGGACAAGGTTTGGCCACGTGTCCGCTCTGTTCCTTCTCTAGAGGTTGGGACTTCTTCTTACACTCTCTTCGAGGATTTTTGCTTTCAATTGGGTAAAAAATTAAGAAAGCATGTATTGCATTTGCATATGCATAGATTAGATTGCATATGCCCCGCTGAATTTTATTTTTTGTAAAATGTCTTCTCTAATTTTTGACAAATTTGTGGTGGAAGGCTGTTTAGTTACTCAAAACCATCCCAAATCCATACAAAAGAATCGGAGAAAGAAATCGAAATTCAGCTCCAAATTCCATCGACATTGGTTTTGAGAGATGATGATATCCCAGGGGGTTGTTCGGGTGGTCCCCGCCGGAGCCTCAGTCGCCCTATCTACATACAAGCGCCGAGAGGGTAGCGGTGGAGGTGCAGGAGCAGATCGACGCTGAGGCCGAAGAGATGGACCATCCACCCGCCGCCGTCCAGTTCTCACGGCCCTTCGCCTGTGCCGACAGCCTTGATTAGGCTCTTATGTTCATTGGGCTCTTAACGCCGTATTGTTAGATTTCTAGATAAGAATATCACGCGGGAAAGGGTACATTAGTAATTAAAAAATATGATTAAATTACATTTGATTAAAGAAAAAAAAAAGGATGGTGATGTAGACTTAACGCTATAAAAACCAAATGTCTGAATTAGAAGACTACAAAGAATACTCAGATGGATGGAGTTATGACCAATTTGTCATAGTTTTATATACAAAAAAAAAAAAAATATATATATATATATATATATATATATATACAAAAACGTTTTTTCTATGACCAATTTGTCATAGTTTTGTATACGGAAACGTTTTACATACTCCAAAACCTAATCAGTCTATATATACAAGCCCAATATGAAACATTGGCATATCACTTCCATACAGTTATCTGCTACTTCTGAAATGGCATTCAATATTGTTTGCATGCCTCCTCAACGTTTTTTGATGCATAACCTACCCAAAAATTTCCCACAGAGGGCTCTTAAACCCAATCATACTTGTCATTTCCGGTGTTCCGCTATCACTCAAACTTTTCAGGATCAAAGAAGATCAGCCAATTACCAGCCAACCATTTGGACCGATGACTTCGTTAAGTCCTTGAAGAGTGAAGATATGGTAATTCTTGAAGACTTCTCACTTCATCGGTCCCACCTTTTTCACTTTTTTGTAGACTTTTTCTTTTATTTTTGTTTCTAACTAATGTCTTATAAAATGGGGTATTACTACGCTATTAGTTAAAAATATGGGATATTACTCCTAATAAATAACATATATTACAGTTGAAACATTATAACAGCTCAACGCAAAAGCCTCCTGTCATTGCAAGGTAATAGTCAAATGTTATGAGTTTTACCCTTTGTACGAAAAGCCGGTTTCCATCGAGCAAAAATCTTGAATAAAAATGTCCAGATACAAAAAGATATGATCGGTATAAACTTTTTTTAAAATGAGTTGAGAAAATATAGAATTGGTCTCTAAAACATCTTTCCTAGCATGTTTTTAGAAATTACTTTTCTTTAAAAAAGGCACAGCATCATGCAGGAGCAGGATCTTGCAGGTGGGCCCCATATCTTAAAAGCACCTTGTGATCGTACAAAAGATTAAGAAGATAAAGATATCATGTCGATTCAGTACTCATTTTTCTTGCATAATAGATTTTTTTGTTAGAATAAATGGCTCATATTTAATATAGATAAAATATACCAAATTTGAAGATAACGGGTCAATTGTCAGAGTATTAGAGCCAGAAATGCCTTCAGAATTTGTCTTAATTAGGGTTGTAACCCTGTTTTTAGCGTGGAAAAAAAAAAAAAAAAGACAGTCACTCTCTCGTGAACATAAGCAAATTGAATCACGTAAAATATTTGTGTTTATCTTCTAATCTTTATGTTTCTTTGATTGTTCATCGCACACAAATTACAACAATTTTCATTTAGTACAGACTTTATTTCACAAAAGGAGATCTTCATTTACAACGATGTAGACTTATGTGTATATGTTTGTTCAACAATCCCACGTTGATCCCATCATTTTTTGTGTGGTTGTGTCTGTGTGTACAATTGGAATTTATATAGGATGAATTACATAAGGAAAGATCAAAGGAGCTGGAGGATGAGGTGAGGATTATGATTGGTAATAAGGGTGCAAGACCATTGACATTGCTCCAACTTATAGACGACGTAGAACGATTAGGCCTGGGCTACCGATTTAGTAAGGATATAACTGCAGCACTCGATAGAATAATTGCAATGGAAGGGAGTAATGTTGGGGTGGAGAAGAGCATTCATGCTACTGCTCTCAAATTCAGGCTCCTCAGACAGCATGGTTATGACGTCTCTCAAGGTACTTAACATAGTTTTCTCTAGAAATTCAATAATCTCATTTTTTGTTTCGTAACAATTTAGGATTCTTAATCAGGTCTTATAATCTCAATCTTTTAATCTCTCCCACCGATTTAAGGTAAAAGCTTGATTTTTAAAGTTCCGGTGGTGTTATAACTAATATATCCTTAAATTCACACACCCACACACACATGTGGCAAGGAAGGTGGTGGTGGTGAAATGGCAATAGTGGCAACAATATTGATTAGGAGGACGATAGTGGTGGGTGGTGGCGGCGGGTGGTGGTGAGTGATGGTTGTAGTGGTGGTAATAATAGCGACAGGTGGTGGCAGGGATTAGTGGAGGTGGTGGTGGTGGTGGGGCTGCTAGTGGTGGGAGGTGGTAGTGGGTGTGTTGGAGGGTTGTGGTGGCAGGAGCCAATGGTGGTGGTGGAAACAGTAATAGTGATAATTTAGAAATGGTGACGGTGATAAATGTGAATATGAGAGTTTTTTTTTTTTGTTCTTTTATCTTTTGTTTCTACTTATAAACTTATTTAAGTGATAAAACTACTTATCAAAAAAAATTAAACTAGTATCTTCAAAAAATACTTTTTTTTGTTCAAAACATTTACGAGAAGTTGCAACTTGCAAGCATTTTTTTTTTTTTTTTTGGATTTGAAAATAGTAAGTCGTAAAAAAACTTTTGTTTAGGTAATGTCAAACGCCATCATACCATCATAGTACCACCATATGTACATACAAAAGTATTAGAAATTTCATTGTATGACTCCATAATTTTTGTGTGAGACAGATATTTTTCGGAGTTACAAAGATCACCACGGTGATTTTGTAGAAGATTTACAAAATGATGTTAAGGGATTGCTAAGTTTGTACGAAGCTTCATTTCTCGCCTTTGAGGGAGAGAATCTCTTGGAAGAGGTCAAATCTTTCACAATGATTCATCTTGAGGACATCAAGGGATACATAGACAAAAGCCTTGTCGAAAAGATAAATCATTCATTGGAGCTTCCGTTGCACCGTAGGATGTGCAGGTTAGAAGCTCGGTGGTACATCGATGTCTATAGTAAGAATAAAGAAGCAAATCAATCGTTGCTCGAACTTGCTGTTTTGGATTTCAACATGGTACAATCTACTTTACAAAGTGATCTTAAAACAGTGGCGAGGTAAGACTAATGATTGATGTAAATCACCTTCAAGCCATCGAAGGACTTAAATAGTTCATTTTAGACAATTCTATCGTTGTGACTATATAATGCATCATGATAAGAAAGAATATTCACATCATACTAAACATTCATAGTCTCAAGATTGCAATTTTTGTGAAATAATCAACATTTAAAATTTTTATCAGGTGGTGGAAAGGCGTAAGCCTAGCAAGTAAGTTGAACTTTATAAGAGACAGATTGATGGAATGCTTCTTCTGGACAGTGGGAATGATTTATGAACCGAGCTTTAGTGATTGTCGAATAGGATTAACACAAGTTACTTCACTGATAACTACAATCGACGATATTTATGATGTTTATGGATCGTTAGATGAACTTCAGCTATTCACCTATGTTGTTAAGAGGTCTGTATGTTCAAAGAATCATTTAACCTTTAAATTTTTATTACTCTCGTTTAATGATCCTTTCAATGTTGCTTCTTGTTTAATTGAAACGTTCACATCTTCTGTCAGATGGGATGCCAATGCAGTGAAAAGTCTTCCACACTACATGAAGTTATGCTTCCTGGCTCTCTACAACACTGTCAATGGAATGGCTTATGACACTCTGAAAGAAAATGGCATAAACGTTATACCAATCCTATCTAAAGCAGTATGTTACCTCATATGGACGCTTAAATGTATAATAGTCTTCACTTAAAAATTTTAGATCAAATTACACTTTGGCCCCTCAACTATGCCCCGTGTCTTAAAAATTACCACCTCAATTATCATGTCTTTTACACTGCAGTTCTAACTATGGTTATTAATTTCACATTACCCCCTCAAATATTATGTTTTTCACAGTACACTTCCAATTATGGTTAATGGTTTCATATAACTCCAATTATGAACATTTAAAAACTTTAATTATCACATATTTGGATGTTTTCTATCCGAATATGGCAGACGTTGGGTTTGGGGGTAGTATGAAATTGATTCAAGTAGATGACAGCACAATGTGAGACGGTCAATAGTTGATGGGGCAAAGTGAGATCACTATAATAGTTAAGTGGGTCAAAGTTTTAATTTATCAAAAGTTTTGGTCTATTAATTGATATTTGTTTGTCTTGTATACTTGTTTTACTCAGTGGGCAGACTTATGCCAAGCATTTTTGGTGGAAGCAGAATGGAATTACAGAAAACAAACGCCAACGCTTGAGGATTATCTTGAAAATGCATGGCGTTCAGTCTCTGGGAATGTTATTCTAGTTCATGCCTACTTTTTAATGAGTCAAAATGTCACAACAGAGGCATTAGAGTATTTGGAGAGACACCATGATATTTTAAAGTGGTCGTCCATGATTTTTCGACTGTGCAACGATTTGGGTACCTCAACGGTATGCACTTCACACTACATAATCAACCAATGCAGTCTATGATTTGGGTTTCTTTTAAATATCATACCAAAAGTTACAACTCAATCGAGCAGGATCACATAATTGAATCAGTTGAGATTACAACATAGTAATGTCATTTTGGGATCAATCATTAAAGTGTCAAGTGTATCCCCAGTTGTGAGTCATAATTTGACCTCGATTGAGTCATAACTGACCTTTCTGAGTCATAACTTAACTCTAACTTCTTGGTGTAGCATCAAAATCAATGGTTGTCTCCTTTATTCTCAATTGTGCTAGAATAAAATTCAAAGCTGATGGTACAATAGAATGTAGTAATAAACTGATTTACCAGCTTTATAACAAACATACTTAATCTTTGTGCATTACAGGATGAGTTACAGAGAGGTGAAACAGCAAATTCAATCCTGTGTTGTATGCATCAAAATGGACTTTCAGAAAAACTTGCCCGCGAACACATCAGCAATTTAATCAGTGAAGCATGGAAGAAACTGAACAAAGGTCGAGTAGATGATTCTCCTTTCTCAAAACATTATCTTGAGACAGCAATGAACCTTGCCCGGATTTCCCAGTGCACGTACCAATACGGAGATGGGCATGGAGCTCCTGATAGTAGATCAAAAAATCGCGTCTTGGCAACGATTATCGAACCCATTAGACTCATCAAATAAATGGTGTTTGAGAAGGGTGTATTCCTCAATTCTTGAGTGAGTTGTTGAAATGATTGGAACAAGCGACCTTGGAATGTATCACAACTAGATTTAATATCAATGTCAAAATCATTGTCTCTTGTCAATTTTCACCGAACCCACATTTCAGTAATAGTAATCGTTTCGCTATTTGCTACTATATATTTTTAAAATCAGAGGTAGAAAGTTTATAGTACATTGCGTCGTGATTAACATGTAATAGATATATAAAACCAAAAATCAGTGTAATTCAAACAATGACATCTGAAAATGAAATGAAGTTCGTCCCCTACCTTCCCTTTCAGAAAGGATTGTTCCATGTAACGCCATTAAATATGGCACAACAAAAACGTTTAGGGTTCAATTTATAATTTTTGTAGGTTATTGGGGATCAATTCTAAAAATTTTAACATCAATTACATGTACTCTCAAAAGTTATAAATGACCTTCAAAAGTTATAAAATGATTTTCAAAAATTTTAAATGATTGTCAAAATTATAACTAACCCTTAAAAATTATAAAAATAAACCATAAAATTTGTGATGACGGTACGGGTGTAATCTAGATGAGCTATTCACACTCAGCTCAAACTCGCATTCTAAACACGGCTCGAACTCGACTCGTATTTTAAATAAGTTGAGTTTGAACAATTTTATAGACTTGTTTAGAAAAGAGAGTCAGGCTCGACTCAAACTCGCAAAACTCAACTCATATATTAACGTATCCTTCATTAACATTAAATTAAGGGAAAATAATTTAAGCTGATTTCAATGAAGTGTATTTCCTAATAGATTGGAAACCGTTTGCCATGAATGAAAGCGTCCGTTTGGCTTCCTCTGTGAAGTGGATAACAATGTTTTTTAGCGCTAGAAATATGGGAAAAGGGTATTACTGACTTTTTTTATTAAAAGTGAACTTTTATCAAAGATATTTTTAAAAGAGTAATGCTACATAGACTTAAAAATTAGACTTAAAAATTAGATTTGATAATCTCAACCATTGAATAGGTAGTGAGTCTTAATAAATGCTGGGACTTACAGTGAAATCAATGGTTGAGATTATCAAGTCTAATTTTTAAGTTTATTTTTTAAGTCCATGTAGCATTGCTCTTTTTAAAAAGGATTTTCTCTCAAATAAAACTTATAAATAGTACCAGCTTCCAAGGATTTGTAGAATCTTTTGAAGTCAACAATAAAAAAAGAAATTTGATAAAAAAAAAAAAGACTGGCCGACTATGTTCTCAAGTTCTCTCCAAATCCACTAAAACAAACAAAGCACCAATAATTAGGCCACAACCTTCAAACTTTGGTATTGATATTACTGGTTATGACTTTAACATTGATATTTTAATCACATCTCTTATATAATTAACCTCATTTTTTGTAAAGGTATATAATTGACCTCTTTTTAGATTTTTTTTTTTGCTTAAATATTATATACATACTTTTGGCTAGAGGTGTCAACTCTAATCCATTGATACGAACCTGACATGAACGATTATAAAATTAACACAATTATTAAATACGCATAATAAATAGTCTAGACTAATGTTTAATACTTAAAACACACTAAATAGATTTTTTTCATGGATATTGACACGAACATGACACGAATTACAATGACACGACTCCAATAACACGACATACAGGTCACACGAGCATGACACGTTCAACACCCTTACTTTTGGCCCATCTTTGTTTAATCAACCTTTAAGTATCAATTATATGATGTAAAAAAATAAAAATGTATTACATTATTTTTAACTATTAGGGCTCGTTTGGTAGATGTATTATGAGGAGATTAAATAATTGATTGTACTATTTTTTATTTAATCGGGTCTAATACTTTATTTCATAAGCAAATTTGATATCGTATTACTTTCAAAAACGTATATTAATAATACACTTATCATATATTTTGTATACGATATGTCTGTATTATAGAGGTATTTTAATACCACCAAAAAATGTGGTATTATAATTCAATTCAAACGTATTATTTTACACATTTACTATTATAACCTCTAACTAATAAAATCAAGTTGTCATCTATGTAAAAAACACTGATTGATAATATTCTTGTTAATTCAACATTAATACGATGAAATAATTTTCTAACCAAACAACTAATTGAATTAAATAACTAATATCCAACGTTTATGTTGTGTATTGTCAAACACTAAATAAAATTATATATTATTCTAATACCTTATTTTATCTTGTTTTTTTCCTTCTATATTGTATTAGACTGAATTACTCTATCTAATATATCAATTTCTAATACGGTAATCAAACGAACGCTAAGTGGACTAAATAAAACTTATAGTTAGAGTGCGTCTACGATACAATATAGTGTTGGCTCCGCCACCGGTTGTAGTGGTGGTGGTGGGGCAGTGGCCAACAGTGGTGGTGGGGCAGTGGCGGGGCAGTGGTGGTGGTAGTAGTAAAGTGTTTTGTAGAAAAAAGATTTTAATGAAATAGTAGTTTTATTTTTATTATTATTTTTACTTACTTATTTAAGTGGTAAAACTATTTTTACTCATTTGGACGTAATTAAAATTAGTTGTTTCAAATACTACCCTTTTTGAAAAAAAAAAAAAATATTTATAAGAAGTCATAAGTTCTAGAAGTACTTTGAAAAGTCATCTCAAACATATCCTTAGAAAGCCTTTTTTTTTCTATTAAATTTAAAGACTTAATATTAACCGTCGGATTAATTTTAAAATAAAATTAAATACTTTATTATATAGAAAAAAATTTGAGAAAGTGAGAAAGATAAAATCGAGACGACACAGAATTTACGATGAAAAAGGCTATCTGTGGGAGGGGGGGGGGGGGACCTTGTAACACAAAACACTGTAGACAGTATACTGTAGTCTTAACAAACTTTTGTTTTTTCCGTAATGTTTAACAGTATCACAATGATACAACTGGTAGGCTGCTGTCAAAGAATTAATTTGATAATGGAGGTCCTAAAATATAAGATTTATCTTATTTTGATCTCTAATATTTTAATCCTTGAAATATTGAATATATTTTTATGTGGTCTTTCAAAAAAACTGTGTCCAAATTGGTAAAGATTTTTTATTATAAACTTATCACGTGATACATGAATATGGGAAAAAAATAATTTAAGTAGCCCTTGACCAAAATATGGGTAGCTCTTGACTAAATTTTGAATAGTTTATGATCAAAACTGTATAATTTTCATAACTCTTTGATTAAAATTTGAGTAAAAATTTGACCACATTATTATAGTGTATAAATAGGTAAGCCCTTACCTTTCCAAAACATAGGCAATTTAATTCTCTACAGTGTAATTGTCTTCTTTCGAAAGTAATACAAATTAAAGGAGTAAGAGTCTTCGTTACAGTAGATTGACCTAACTATTCAACTTGATGAATCATTTTTTTCTTGTGTTTTTACTTATTATTATTTTGTTTTGCACATACACACTGCTCACCCATTAACTCAAAAGAGCTCGTATATCTTTCTTAGTTTATATTTTTCAATTTCATACACATTAGTTTACATATTCATTCTCTCTTTATTGGGTGATGTGATGAAATTGAGTTCAATTTTTTTTTTATTTTTGTGGGTAAGTGATGTCTTTAATGTTTTCGGTTGATCTGAAATTATATTTTCATTATATTTAATTATTCCCACTATAATGTCTTGCTAAAATATCGTCCCTTCGAGTGCAGAGATGTGTAGTTCAATTTGATATAAGTTTATGAAATTTAGGTATTCATCCCCTTCTAACTTCTCTTTGCACCCTTGTATGTTGTTTGGACATTAAAATGTCTTTGAAAAGGATAAGACTATGATATCAACAAATATTTTAGTTTTACATGTGTTATATTTTCATCAAATTAAAAAATAAACATAATATTAAAAATGAATATTTCATCGCATAAAAATATATAATATTTTATATGTAATGTACATCACAAAGTTCTGCCAGCTCGTGCATGAAAAGCATGGAATATTTTCCCCATAAATGGACCCCTGACTAAAACATCTTCACTTTCAGAATTCTAAGGTTTGAGCGCAGTCTGGTACATGTCTGTGTCAACTTCTACCGAGTTCTGTACAAAAATGCCAAACTAAACCGACAGCCCTTATGATCTATCAAATTCAAAAGATCCCTTTCTTAGCGGTGATAAGTAACAAGGGGTTTTTGAAAATTGAGATATTTTGATTTTGAATTTTTACAAATTTTTAGGATTAAATTATAAAAAATTTATCTCTCATGAATATTTTAATTTCAGCGTAGATAGCAAATCTTTGATGAGACTGGTCTTCGATGAAATTAGTTAAGTTACACGTAAACTACCACAAACACTCCTAACTTGAACCCAATTATTATTTGATGTAACTATTTTTTTTTGTTAAGCATATTATTGTTTGATATGATAGAGAAATAATTTATACGCATTGTGTGTGCAGGATCTTACACAATATAAATACGATTACAGATCTCTCCCGTAGTGAACTCGAGTCAGTCAATCAAATGGTCAACCTTGCTATTGGAAACAACCTATGAGGTCCTATGGTAACCTGGAACGATAATGGAAGACTCATGTGGATCAACGGAGCGATACAGTAAGGCTGAGGAAGGTTCCTAAAACAAAGAAAGGCAAGTTAGAAGGGTGCCGGAGTGTTTTCCGACGTATCCCCTCCGACGATCAAGTCAGTATTTGAGAGGGGGGAAGAAGAAAACACTGAGTATAGGTTTTTGGAAAAGTTTTTTGTTGCGTACCATCTTGCCTTTTGCGAGGAGTATTTATACCTCAAAAACTCATGATTGCTGTCAGTGTGGTCAATAGGTGATCATTAGGTACAAGCAACGTGCGCACTGATTCCTATGAGGAATGTCTTATCTCTTAACTGCTCGGGACCCCGAGCAATCAATGCGTCGTCATCGGTCTGCCGAATATTCAATGAGCTCTTTTTGGCAAGAGAGTAATAAATGCCCAGTATCAGGGACATTTATTGTCTTTCTCTTCCGAGCCTTACCGCATTAAATGTTGTCTCATCAAGGGAATGGCTTAATTAAATGTTTTCTTTCCCAAGTTGTGTGTCAGCAAGGACATCCGATCTTTTTGTCTCTGATATAACACAATATGCC